CGTTGCTGATTTGTAGCTCTGTAAATGGTGACCAGGTAATAGAGCCAAATTCAAGTATTGGCTGGACGAAGGAAAAAAATAGTCTGAGGTCAAATCTACAAATAAATCCAAGGGCACGATATGCACGTAGAGTTACATGGTTAATATGATCGGAGAAGGTCAGTTTATCATCGATCATCACGCCAAGATTTTTTATCGAGTTGACAATCTGTATACTTTGACCGCTTAAGGAATAGTTAGCGGGCAGTTGATTATGACGACGAGAAAATCCCATGACAGCACATTTTTTTATATTCAGGTTCAGCTTATTTATCGCGCACCATTTCTCTAGTTTTGAAAGGTCAGGCTGTGGAGCTTCCATATCATTATCGCCACGTATTGCTGTGAAGATTTTCATGTCATCTGCATATAATAAGTACTCGGATTCGAAATCGTCTCCAATGTCATTTATAAATATGTTAAATAGGTCCCACAAAGCACAAAGTCTAGATCTCAACGCCATCGAAAAATCTTTCGCTGTGGTCAAGAGGGGATTGGCGTAGCACAAGTTTTCTCCGAGTAACATGAAAGAGCTTTGGATGCTAGTAAAATTATAATGGGTAACATTCCAAGCGAAGTCATAGGAAACTCAGTTCAAATGTACAAATTATTTAATTTAAAATAATTTAATTTAAAATTTTTAATTTCGGTTCTATAGACATCAGTTCTCTGTTGAAGCTTGCGCACAAATTAGCTGAGTCCTCAAGAGGACCTGACATACAGAGCTGGACATCGTCCGAATAGGCATGCATATTGGCATGCATAGAAGTCCGAATTATGTCATTAACGAACAAACTAAATAGTAGTGGTCCTAAGATTGACCCTTGATGGCCTTAGTTCCAAATGTTTGAGATCGAACCTCGACACGCTAAAACCTCTCTTTCAGATAGCTACGCATCAGTTTTACTGCTGACTCTCTAAACCCAAAGTAGTTTTTCAGTTTATAGCACAGTAGTTCATGGCTAACTGAATCAAAGGCAAGTTTTGGCTACTTGTCTGTGTTAATTTTTTTTAACGGCGATCATAAACGACTTTTTAGCCAGTTTTTCTTCGAGAAAATATCCAGTTACTAGCTCGTTAACGATGATTTTGCTGGTTGGGTATATACTTACGTACATACACAGACTTATTTCAGACGAAAGCAACCCAACAAGCAAAATAAACTTAAAGAAAGTTTTTTTTAAGTTTTCAATTATAAACATTAAGCTTACAAAACGTTGATTTTTTGTTTATAAAACGCTTGAAAGTAAGCGTAATATAATCGAAAAGGAACATTGGTTATAAGCGTAGAAATATAAACTTGTAATAAATGTTCAAAAGAAAGCTTTTTATAAGCGTAAAAGTGTAAACTTATAATAAAGGTTCAAAAAAAGTTTTATATAAGCGTATCAATATAAACTTACTAAAAATTTTCAAAAGAAAGCTTTTTATAAACATTTTTATAACCCTTTATTTAAAGATATTTCATTAAAACCTTGCTTAACATCTAGAAACTAAACGAATTGCGAATTTTCTGCGGACTCATCTACAGTCGCGAAAATATAAATAGGGAATAGACATTTTAGCATACAAATTCACAATAACACATACAAATTAAGCATAAAAAAGTTAATTATTACATCTTGTTGCGTGCTTTCAATTACTTGCGGTTATTGGCAAATTGGAAAAGGGACATCGATGCAGCTATATATTGCGCTTTATCGCGCCATTCTCATTGATGCACTTTTCTGAAAAAAATTTAATACATTTTTAATTGAATGTTAAACTAAGAAAGGATAAGGGGAACTCATCATTTGAAGACTCGAATGCTCCACCGATTAGCGCAGCGGGTCCTGGATTGGATTTTCTTGTTTTACCGCATTGGTTTTATTTAATTTGTTCTTTTAATAATATATTTTAAAAAACGTAAACACGTCACTTACGATTGAAAAAATTGTATATTTACTACTTCATGTCGTTGGCATTTACATTTCATTTATAAGTTTAAGTTATTTATAAACATTCGCTCTCAAAACGTATTAAAGGTTTGTTTGAAAAAACTTTTAATAAGCTTAATATTAAAAATGCTTATTTAACGCTTATTATAGCAAACTTAATTTAAGTTATTTTTAAAAACGTTTACTGAAATGCTTGTTGGGAATTTGAGTGAAAAATGATTTTTTTTTTTCTGTCAGGCTCCATATTAAATTCATTAAAAAATAAATAAATTTTCATTAAATTGCTGTCATGAAACTGGGTTTTAAGGTATTTCAACAGGTGAAGATTTGAGATTTACCACTGCATAATTCGCTAAAAATCTCCAAAAGAATAGCGGGGATTGTAGTCAAGAGTTCTAGCTTTAATTTAAACATAAGTGGAAGGTTCTGCAACCTTTTGTTTATTTGCTAGAGTTTCTCAAATAATGCAAAAAACGCGTTTTTTTTACATTTTGACCTCGTTTTTCTCAAAATCTGGACCTTTAGTCAGCACAAAAAAGTCTATCAAAAACTACCTTTAACATTTGCTGCATCAAAATTGTTTTCCATTTTTGTTGGCCTGTGTTATGTATGGGAGAATATTGTAATTATGTGTTTATTAAACTATTTTTTAAATACTATTCATTGTATCGGTAACAATTAATAAACAAGTTTAAACTTCAAATTTTAGGCCAAGTACATCGCACAATGCATAGAAGAAATAAAACAAGAACTGCGTCAGGACAACATCAATGTGAAGTGCAATGCAGTGGCCAAATTAACCTATGTGAGTACATGTTCTTAACTACATATTCATAAATACTAAAACTGTTAGGAAAAAACAGAAACTATGTTCATATGTACACATCAAAGAGCGGCAATGCACTAGAGAGGTACTATTAATGTGGCTTTAGCCTCTATGTCACCGCAGTTCCACTTAACAACAATTTGCTGATTGACTATGTACTATATATACAATTTCTGTGTAGAACTACATAGATACATTTTTACGTATATAGTACATATGTACATACATACATGCATACGTATGTACGTGTTACAAATGACTATTGATTTTGTGTTCATCAATTAAGCAGCATCCTGAAGA